AGCCGACAATTATTCTGTAGAAGATCCCTACTTCACCAATTATTTACGTCTAATATCACATAAATTCGAAGACCCACAGGTGAAAATCAACAAGCTGACAGAAGAAGCAGACAGTGAAGACAGGATGTGATGAAGATAACCAACCAATCACTATCAGGTAGAGGAATTTGACGGAGATCACTTGTTTCACCAATTTAGGCATCATCGTTACATCTACAGGCAATGGTACACATAAGGATGTCAAAAGCAGAATTAGAAAGACGAGATAAACACCTTCATCACTCTGAAATCAGTGTATAGATCTTCTACACTCAGAATAAAGAACAAGATTCAGATTAAGTAAGTCACTGCTACTATTTGGGTAAAAAAATTGGCGCATCACGAAAAGCATTTCCAAAAGGCTGTAGACTTCCATCAACAGCTGTCTTCGCTGACTGCATACTGAAAACCAGATGGCCAAATGGAAAGAATCAGCAACTAGAAACTCTGGGAATGAACCAGTCAAGAACCTCTTGTTGAACTAATATTCTGATGTATCGAACACACTATAAGGAGATCAGTGGATGACATCTTGCACCAGGCCATAGCTCGAGTGGAACCCGAATGGGAAACGACGAGTTGGTCCGAGAATGACATGGAGGAGATCGTGTGAAGAGGAGATGTTCTTTTGAAGCCGTATGATCCACTCGAAACCCCAGGGAATAAGAATACTAGAATACCGACTACATCCATGCATATAATGAATATATATGAATTTCTCAAACAATTCCATTAATTTGATTAAGTTTTAGAGGAGAAATTCAAAAGAATGATTGTTATACTTTTAAAAAAATATCTAAAATAAATTGTAAAAATTCTAAGAATTTAGACAAAAAAAAAGAGAAGGATGATTTAAGGGATCATTTAATCTTTTTTTTAAGAAACAAAATTAATTCCATATAAGTAATGAGCTTTCTACACTCTGACTTACAATATATCTGAATAGTAGTCTGCCTTATTCACATTCTGATATCGTGAGGGGAGGAAGATAAGGTATTATTTCGTGGGATGTAACTTCTCAGTAGTATATGTCAAACTCTAGACAAATAAATTTCTCATTAAGTCTGATAGTATTAACAGTCTTTTTAGCACTTTTTTAGCCTAATTACTATAATTGTTTTCATTTCAGTGTATTAAAGCAGAACGGAATCGGTCACACACACACAAACACATAAATCATACAATAAGTAAGTTTTAGGAGTAGGTATCAATGGTGCTTTGCATTGAAGAAGTAATTCAGATGGACATGGACAAATTATCCTGACAGTGTATTTTCTTTTACAGTAATTGTTAATTGTATTTTAGAAGATGAACTGTTTAATCAAGAGAGCAATTTATTTTAAAGTAAAATTATATGTTCGAATGTCTTACTACTTTGTTAAATAATTAATGAAATTCAAGTATTGGTTTGTAGGGATTTGATTGATTGGTTACAGGATTTCAGCATGATGAATCGGTTAGAGAACCATTGAAACCGTGGGAGTACTGGACACTGCTTCGTCAGACTAGTTTGGGGCTCTTCAACAGTACGCACCCACCACCAGGGACTGAACCCAGGACCTTCTGGTTACAAGGCGAGCTTGTAGACCAGTAAACCAGTGGGACCAGATCCAGTGGTCCATGAATTCTAACTTCTTCCAATTCACGACATAGCACGACCACTAGCTAATGAGATACCCACTAGCGACTGGCCCTATTCAGGTACGTAGTTATCTGGGTTCTAGTGGGAAGCCCTGACCAGTGGGGTACAGCAGGTCGAGTGTGAGGACAAATACTCACCAGCGATGACATTTGCTGGTGGTCGCGCTATGTCGTGAATTGGAAGAAGTTGTAATTCATGGGGTGGTCATTGAATCGGGTCCCAGTGGCTTGATGGTCTACAAGCTGGCCTTGTAACTAGTAGGTCCTGGGTTCGACCCGTGGCAGTGGGTGTGTACTGATGAAGAGTCTCAAAGGAGGGAGGGGGCTAGTAGCTGTCCAGTACTCCTAGGTTTTCCAATGATCCCCTAACCGACGTCAGTTCATGATGAAGTCCTGAAACCAATCAATCGAATCTCTGCAAACCAACATTTGAATATGAAATATATTTGAAGTTGTATTTTGTGAGGATTATAAATAAATTCAAATAATAATAATAACTGTGTATATTCCGTCACGCAATCATATTATTACAAATAATTTCTGTCCATATTCTTGTTAAGGAAGTTCTACACTGACACCTAGTGTAGATACATGTGTTCAGATTATAAATCACAAACATCGAAATGAGCAATAAACGTCAATATGCGAATTGCATTAGAACACGGAAGATAAACTAAAATTGAAAGGCAATCAAAGCATTCAATTTTCCCTATTACTTCTTTGATGAACACATCAATCCGAAACTTTACTCCTTTTTTCCGTTTTCTGTTTTCAAATCGTTTTTTTTTTTTTGGTTTTTCCTTCATAAAACTCCATCCCCTTTTCTTTTTAATCTACTCGTTCTATCCTCTCCTACCAATCAAGTTTTACTTCCTCTATCACATTTTCTTCTTCTGCTATAATCGCGATTTTGTTGTTTCTTTTTTTCTACAGTAATTGTAAAGTTTTATTGCTTTTTCTTTTCTTTCGTTTTACTTCAAATTTATCGCAATTTATGAAACCTTAGCACTGGCTACACGCTTGTCCATCTCTGTTTTGGCATGTAAAAGTAGCAAGTACACGATTTTGTAGGAATAAATTTGGGTTGAACTATCATTGGAAGAGAAAGAAGGAATAAAGTCAGTAGAACTGAGTCTGTATCTATTTCCCCTAGCTCTGGGCATACGAACACTTTACAAGCAAAAGAAGAATAAAGCATATCGTAAGATTTATAGGGAAATTTCAAGAGACAGTTAAAAGATAATAATATTAATCATAGTAATAATAGTAATAATAACAATAATAATAATGATAGCTATCCATCAACCGTAATAAAGGAATTTGTGTTTTTTGCTTTTATACATGTCTGTATGCTTTTACGTGTGTATTGCGTGTGCGTGTGATTTTCGTTAGGGGATAAAGAAAGTTTTTGTTTTACAAATTAATAGTGAGTAATAAAAAATTGACACTGACTTATACTGTGAAACGATAATTCTGACATTTCTATATAGAAAAGACGATTGTAATTAGTTGTATCTGCCTATCCTAACAGTCATTTACAATATAATTGTGAATAAACAAGCCTTTAAAAAGCTCTACTTTATAAAGGCTGAGTTGATGCAGATACTCTTCAAAAGAAGATGATATGATAGGCATTGGCATTTGAAGTGCTTGAAGTAATCTGGTGGATGGTGACTAGCACTGGAATCCAGCATATGCATTCCATCGATCATTTCAGTCCAGTCAGTTGACGGGAAAAATAAAAATTTACTGATTGCACAAGAGGTGCCTCACACGGCTCAAGTGGTTTAGTCGATAGTGCTTTGGCGTTTAAAACGAAAGGTACTAGGTTCGAGTATCAGTGGGAACGATATCATTCACTGGGAATGCAGGTACGTCCAGTTGATGAGTTGCAAGTAGAACAAAGTGCTCATCCTGGATTATCTTACTAGTCACCATCGCTGGTTCAGCGGTAGAACGCTTCCCAACCACGAACGTGGTCTGAGGTTCGATTCCCGACTGACTCACTCCTAAACCTCCCTAAGCCGGTATTAAGGCTAGTAAAAAGAGAAGAGGTTAGCAACCCCACCCACAAAAATTAAACCACTGCTACCAAAACTCTAAAGCTGAAGCTTGAAACCCCATATTCCAGTCGGAACTTAAAGGAATGAAGTAATAATAAGTAATTACTTCAAGCTGATCCTCAGACATCGTCGAATCGTCCATACTAGGAGCTGACATGTCAAAAGAGGCTGATTATTTCGGTCCAAATAATCAGCGGGAACTTCAGAATTAACTTTTAAACAATCAATTCATTTATGCTTATTTAGTGAATGCGTTAACACGCCTGTATTTATAATTGTTATCAAGATAGAATAAATTCACCATTCTGATTTCCAGATTGCTTGAACAACCTATGTCTGTAAAATATGATGTAATTATGTATGTAAAATATAGACCAATATAGCTTGATTCTGGAGGTATGATATTTATTATTATTTTATTCCTTTGCGTTCCCAGTGGAGCACAGAGATTCAGGTTTGAGCTTTGAAGGTTCAGTAGCGCGGTCTTATTTTTGCGGGATGGGTTTGCTAGTCTGACGCCCAATCTTCTCTCTCTAACGGACTTACTACCGGCTAAGCTCGTCGGTCAGGGATCGAATCCTGGACCACTTTTGTCTTGGTTGACGAGTATTCTAATGCTGCACCACCAATTCTGAGGGAGTTATTCGTAAAAGGTAATTCTCTCTCTCTCCTAGAGTATTATTCTACAGATTTAGGCAAAAGCTGATAAAGGCAACATGTTTACTCACCAATATGTTAATGACTCACCTGCCTAAGAGTTGAATATTACTGAGTGTAGATATCTTATTCTCAAAAAAAACTAATTACTTGACTTCTTACATACCAAAGTGTTCATTAAGGTAACTATGTTATGTTTCTTTGTTGAATCTCAACTGATTTGAAGAAAAAAAAAGCCTACACTTAGTATATTATTTCTACAGAGTTCTACTACACTAATCATGCTGGTATTTTTAACCTTATCTTTGTAATTAAGAAATAGATCAGTGTGAAAGTTCTGTGGCAGATAACACCTAAACTACGTAGAAGACTTTAAAGTTAGTTAAATTATTTTACCTAAAAATAGGTAATAGTTATTAGTTCTGTACTAAAAGCCTAAAGTAACAAAAGAGAGAGAGATAAAACTGAATATTTTCGATGAGAATGCACAAACATTGATTGTCTTTCAGCGCAGAATTAATTAAGAGTTTTCAAAGTTTCTGAAAGCAAATCACTAATAAAATTCTAAGAAAGACGAGTAAAACCTCAATTACATCTTACCTCGTAGAGTCCATGTGGTATAACAAGCCATAAATGTTTCCATTCTTCACGAAATCTTCGTCGACGATCTTTTTCACGCCATGTTAAATATTTATAAGCTGCTGTAGTAACTGTACCGCTTTTATTTCCACTTCTGTTATCATTGTCATTTATGCTAACATCACTTGCACAATTTACACTTGTGTTAGCTTTCGTACTTGAGGGAACAGCTGTACTTGATGTTGGTGTATTCATAGATTTGTTGTTATTCAATAGAAAGTCTTTATCTGATTTGAATCTTTTTCTGCCTGATGAATTTGAGCTTTTATCAACAAAATTTCTGATCACAGGAGTAGTTGAGTTTGTAATTTCACTAGTTGGTAAGTGGTTTGTACTATTAACTATTATGTTACTGATAGTATTTTTGTTGACAGTATCCTTATTATAATCGGTGGAAACCACTGTCTTGTTAAATTCACCTCTCATATGTTTTTGAGAATATTTTCTACTTATATTTGATGAACTTTCTGAATACTTACGCTTTAATGAACGTCCAGTACTAATGTCGATGTTAGACATACCGTTTTTAGATTCTACATCATAGTTCAATGTCCAAGGGAATGATAAATCACCACAGTCATTATTTTTACAGATGTTTGGAATATGACATAGGTTAAAGTTATGTTTTGATTGTGCCAGACTTGGAGATATAAGCGTAGTGAATGCAGAAGAATGGTGTTCATTTATTTGAGAATGTAAAGAATAGTCAAGTGGATTACTAGTCTTGTTATCAAGGACATTATCCTGGAGTACATTTATTTTTTTCACCGACTGAAGTAATTTCATATCTTCAAGACGATCTGTTTCTGGTAGTCTGTAAGGTCGATCGTACGGCATAGTTGTAGATGATAACCATGGGGTAAAACATGATGCATTATAGTTATTACAACTGTTACAATTATTAGAATCAATATTACCGGATGACCATGAACATCCTAATTTATTTATTGTCATCATGAGTTGTTCATTAGTTTGTGCACTTAAGAGGTTAGAGTCACTTGATAAATTGCAGACATCGTGATTGATAAACATCTTGAAATTGAATCCAAAATTTAAAATTGCGAAATGTCTTGGTTTATTAGTTACTGAATTTTTTCCTGTGAAGAAACCAGAACAAAAAATGAGTGAGAAAATGTTTAATATAACATAAGAAGAGAATAACTTTTTTTACCGAAAGTAACTAAGCTAACTATTCTTTTTGAAAATCATATTGAATAACCTCCGTAGATTTCTGGTTAAGGAGTAAAACGATCATAATATTACTGTCGGACAGACCAGAAGTCCTTGAAAGAGTGGAGAAGATTTGTAGCTTAGGTGGATGTCTCTGATATGGTTCTGTTCTCTGAGCTGAGTCATTTAGTTCGCCTTGAAGTAAATGCTGAAGATGTTGTTTCGTAAGATAAGGGAAGCTTCGCAATTAAATTAACCAGCTCAGAGACTGCAAGCACATCAAAAGATACTTCACTAAGTGTATTATTATTATTATTTCCTTTAGTTCCTAGAGGAACATAGGGTTTCAGCCGCACGTCCCCATTGCGTTCGCTTCTTTCACTAAGTGTACATCCAAAATATTAATCTGATAAAAGTGCGTGATCAAATACCTACAAACTAACTCACGAAAATTATTCTGATGCTTGCTAGTGACTGTCTACAGGACGAAGTTGGATATAGTTCTAGTGAGAAGTCGTGACCAGTGAGTTCACTAGGTCGGGAGTGAGGATAAATTCTCGCCGACGGTATGGGTTGGTAGTCGCACTAAAATCATGAATTGGTAGAACTTGGAATTTCCTTCATGAATAATCCCCATCCACACATTAATGAAAACAAAACACGTAATTCAGCGAAGAGTCTCTTTCCGGTGAATTCATTCACTTAGCTGGACAATCTTTTTCTTTTCTAATTCCTCATAACATCTGTAATTTTTAGAACTCTTACATTTTCCTTTGTTTCTGTGTGCAACCTAATCACAACTCACTCATTTAACTATTCATCTTATTACGTAACTGTATTGCTCTTATTCAACTCCTTATATGTATTGATTAACCTTAATAACTATGTTTTTTTGACAACGCATTACCACTACCCTCTTACCAGTCTTCATACCCCCCTAGTTACAATTTGATTATTCATCACATTTTTGAAATGTCTTGACAACAATAGCCCTAACTTATTTTTATTCTTATCGGACAAATCGAATGTACACACACACATACAAAAATAATTAGATATAATGCGAATGTACAGCTAAGTGAATGAATTCGCCTCCGAAGAGAGACTCTTCACTGAACTATGTGTTTTGTTTTCAACTTGAAATTTTCTGGCCACTGAGGTGGACCACAATGGCTAAATGGTCTCCGAGCTCGCCTTGTAACTGAAAAGTCATTGGTTTGAACCCTAGTGGATGAGCACTTATGAAGAGTCCCAAGCTGGGACGAAACGGCCATTCAACACTTTCTCATGGTTTCCAATCTTCCCCTAAGTGATCTGAATTCGTCATCAAACTTGAAAAAATATTTATCATTTGGGAAACATTGCAGCAGACCAGGCTAAATGCAGTAATGTGTTTTTAAAGTATGTAGTGTAATTTGGGTACTTTAAACACCAGCTAACTGTCTCTATGATAAAATGATTAGTTAATAGACTGAATGGAAACTTTATTCCAAGGCATCCGTAAAACTGAGGTAAACTATTTAATGATCGTTGCACATACCATTTGTTAGAACTTTTAGTAACTTTCAACTACTACTCAAAATTTGACCATGAAGTTAAGTCCTTTGTCGTTTTATTTTCTCTCAAAGTAAACCAAAAATACAAGTAGCAAAAAATACTGACGAAAAAAATGTGAATTACGTAAGCAAGGAATATTTAGTAATCAGCTATACTTTGGATGATGACCTCAATAATTTTTAAAAAATTTCACCACAAATTTAGATCAGTTAAATAAACACTCTGGATCATGAGTAAATTATTTTATTCAATTGAAAGTATTCCAGAATTAAAAATTAAAACAACGCATTGATCGCTATCCAGTTGTTATTTAGAAGAGATACCTTAATATTTGATACGTCGTTATCGACAATGCATAGATAGGTCGGTATAACGATAAATATTATAGTTTGTAGCATCGGAGAATTATTTTTATATTATTGTTTCCTTTAATTCCTAGAGGAACATAGAGCATAAAATGGACCCACACAAAAAACGTGGAGGATCTGGACTTCGCCGATGATATATGTCTGATTTCCCACAAACTGGAAGATATGCAAGTGAAAAGCAACAAGTTGGCGATAGAAGAAGCATCAAAGATAGGAAAAACTTAAGGTGAACATAGAGAAAACAGAGGTGATGAAGATTCCTGGCCAACAGCGACAGCAACAACAACAGACAACAATCAGCATAAATGGGAGAAATCTGAAAGAAGCAACCTCCTTTACTTACCTACCTGGGAAGCATCGTTTCAACTACAGGCGGACGGAACTGATGAAGATATCAAAGCAGCGAGGATCGGGAAAGCAAGGCAAGCTTTCATTACACTCACAAGTCTGTGTGGAGGTCAACAGCACTCAGTATGAAAAATAAGATGCGGATTTTCAACTCCAATGTGAAGTCAATGCACCAATAGAAACTTTGGTGCTCATAATAAGATTCTCATTGAATACCGAGATGGATATTCAATGTATGCATAATTCATTTTAATTAGAGATTTCGGATTCTTCATTCTGACTGACTGGTTTCAAAATAGAACTATGCACAGAAGTGCAGCAGTTCGAGTTGCCACACCACTTCCATGTAGCACACGAAGGAAGACAAATGAGGGGAAAAAGGAGATTCGAAATGTGCAGGAGAAAAAAAAAGTAACATGGAAAACAATAGAGATCTCAAAAATTGAATTCATCTGCGCCACTAATTGCCTCAAGCCACTGGGTTCTTAGAATCTCGACGACCCCAATCAGGCAGTCTACGACTCCCCAAGTGGATTGTTCAGACTAACTGTTAAAAATTCTATGAAGTGATTCAATGTTTCGGTTTGACTACCACTAGTTCTTTACCAACCTGACTCTGTGTCAGCTAAAATTGCTCGTCAAGAAAGCCGATGGCTAGGCATGCTTAACACATGTCCTAGCCATCTCAATCGATGCAGCTGCTTCACAACCCCATCGACTGACTTCCGCTGTTTAACTTCTTCATTCACATCACGTGAGAATATTCCTTTCTGGTAAAAGATGCTTCGTTTAACTAAGTCATAAATAATTTCACCAATCTACTAATACATTCAATAATAGAAATATGTTCAATTAGTCTAAAAGCTGCATAGAATTGTGTGGAATAAATGCTTACGCAATACAAAAGAAGAAAAAGAAACAACAATGAATTACAATAGTGAAAGTGGAGAATAATTCTAATGTTTTAAAACTTGCCTCTCAATTACGTATAGGCATACCGAAAACATTTTCCCTCCAAACTTATTAAACGGCCTACTTGTCTGCAAGTTATAATTTTGTCACCGATTGCCACAGTCCTCTGTTTGTCCAATAACAAAATAGCTATTAAGCCTATTGTCTATGGCAGTAAAATGCTAGACACTTAGGCGCCAAAAGAACAAATCAATAGACACATATATATATATATATATATGTACTACAAATATGCCTACGTATATTTGGAAAAAATGCTGACATGACAGTGTTTATGGAAATTAGCACATAAGCAGTAATTATTTTATGTCTTCTATGTTTAGCCTTTATGCTTTTAAACAGCCTAGGCCAAAATGCTACGGGATGTTTCCTTTTTTTTCAAAAGATAGTATGAAAACGAAAAAGGTTGCAGTTTCTTTATACTATGTTTCTGTGTCGCTTATTATGCAAAGCAAATTTAGTTACCTTGTGCTGTAGCTCTTGTTTCACATGTTTTGTGTTTAGTTTCATGAAAGTTCTAATAAATTTAATTAGAAATTAACCAGTATGCGGGCTACTGAGACGATCTCTATTAGACTACTGAGTACAAGGACTGCGTGTATTCACAAGTCTGCTGTTGGTGATTTTAAACTTAATATGTTAGGTTTCAACTGTGTTACATCTGAGAGCTGGAAGATATTTCAGCTGGTTCTTGAAGTTAGAACACAACTGATTTTGTAAAGAAATGTCTCCATATGGAGTTAATAGATAATAAAGTAGAGTAAATCGGTAGTTTTTACAACATTAGTGTTAAGTCAGTCACTGCTTTTATATCCGTCAGAAACTTGGTGCTCGCCTCAAGGAAAGCATTTCTATTAAGCCATTACACACTTTTATCAACAATTGCCCACCTCCACTCCATACTGAAGATCACATGGCCGACCGAAAAGAATCGGCAACGAGAAAGTAGGGAAACGAACCAATCAAGAAACCACTACTCAACAAATATGCCGAAGAAAATGGAGATGCATAGAACACACGCTGAGGAGACCGCTGGGTGACATCGCACACCAGACTATAGCTCGAATGGAATCCAGATGGGAAACGACGAGTTGGGCGTGGGTTCTTGGGTGACATGGAGGAGATCGTATGAGGAGGAGGAGGAGGAGAGATGAGAGCCTACGTGCAATCTTGGAGCCAGTTGAAGAGGATTGAATAGAACAGGGTGAAATGGAGATGTGCTGTTGAAGCTGTATATTCCACTCGGAATCGAAGGCTTTGAAATCCTCATCCGTATTGTGTTATGATCGTTTTAAAATTGGTTTAGAAAAGAACTCTTATTTTTCTGCTCGAATTACTTAAAATTAGCTGCTGCTGTTGTGTGACATTCACTAAAACTATAATGTATACAACAAAATAAAACTTACCACCAATGGAAATGTAGTTCATTGACTTAAACGCTTAACTTTCAGCTGTTGAGTTCATGATTCGAATACGCCTGAATCTGCTACAGTCTGTGAGAGTGAATAGCTTTATCAGTAGGCGTGGCTCATAGCCTAGTGCTACTGATGTGGTGAGAATGGTGTACCGAACTGTTGGTAATTGAGGCCAAGGTCAAGATGGACAGGCGGATACAGAACTGACACAGCCACAAGAGATGTAAGGTTAACTTTGTGTGAGAAACAACCAATCAACAGACTGTA